GTTTTCGACAAACTCATTGACAGTTTACATATATGATGGGCCTTTATACTTGTAGTTATCATATAACCCCAATTTGTTCGTATTTTGCAAACATTTTTTCAATCTTCAAATTCGATGGGCCTATCACCAAAAGGGTCAAAATCGAACAAATCCCAATTGGGATTTTTTTAGTAAAAAATAAGTGTATCAAGGAAGAAAACAAAAGAAAGGATGGAGGTAGATGAACCATAACAATTGAAATTAAGTATTGAAAGCTCCATTTAATTCTTAATCAAATAGAAACAAAACATTAGTGTCCATAAGCAGACTTTGTCTATGCAGACAAGAAAAATTAAAACATCTCAAAATACAAAGAGTTTTTTGAATGGCATATATGACAACAACAAGTGTAAACAATTAGTTTGAGATAAACATCATGCCAGTCCTCGACAACGGTGCCAAAAACTTAGTACGTGTGAAACAAGGAGTGGGTTAGCACAAAGCTGACTCTAGTGTGAAACAAGGAGTGGGTTAGCACTAAGCTATTTGTGTTTTTAATTAACTAGTGTTGTCATTTTAATTTAATTACAAGAAATATTTATCTGAGATAAAATAAATAAATAAAAACTATTCATATTCAACAATAAATATTTCATAAGGAATTTTGCTTTGTGATCATACTTGAAAACTTATTAATTACTTATGTTTTGTGTATAAAAATTAACAATGAATATAGAATATTGTTTGTTTTAGCAGGATCACATGTCAGGTTTTACTATATGCTTAATGTAGGTTATTTTCGATTTATTTTGATTGGTTTATTGAAATAAAGACTATTACATTGCATTTACATGAAGTGTTAAGAATTAAAAGCCATTGAACAAAAGTTTTATGTTATCAATAGCGAAGTGTACATTGTAAGTGGATTTATCAGTAACAACATCTTAACATTGTTACAAATAACAAAAGGTAGTTTTTTTTTTCTAAATTGAGAGGCACTTCTAATTGTTTTCGCCCAGGGCACCAAATATCTCAGGATCGGGCTTGGGTTAGCAAATAGTCCACGATGGACAACATGAGTGTATACTGGTACTAAGATTGTCACTACAAGTAGTAGTTTGGTAAGAATGTAGATCGTATCCACAGGGACTGGGTAATCAAGACACTATTATTTTCATGTACTTCCTTTTACTAGTTTTGATTAGCGAAGACGCAAATAAGTTGGTTGGTTTATTTAGTGAAAATAATCTTAATAAGACTTGTGAATAATAAAATACTTAATTATTATTTTTAAGACACTATTATTTTCATGTACTTCTATTGAGTTATAATAAAATACTTAATTATTATTTTGATAAAAAATTATATTAACAAACCAAAAATAAAAGAATGAATTACAGAAATATACAAAAAAAAGAGAAACTTTAAATAGTTAGTTTGGTACTAATATCATATTTTTTTTAAATTTTTATGATATCTTTATATTTATATTTTGTTTAAAATTAAAAACATTAACATTTTTTCAAAACCACGTAAAGTCGTATTATAACATCGACTGAGACAAAAATAAATAAAACAAAACATTAAAACCGAGATGTATCTCGCTGCATTTTTTTTATTAAACTGGATATCTAACCCGCTATGCGAGCCGACTAATCTTAGGGCGACCACCTATTTTGCAGATAGCCCAGAGTCACCGCATTTAAACATTCGTGGCCACAAGGGGATTTTCATTTCTTCTTGGATTTGAATCTGGAACTTTATGGTACTTTTAACCTTTGGAGCCAAACTCAAACCAATCAGACACCACCCTTATGGTTGTCTCGATGCATTTTACGAGTACCTTTTAAATAAAGTTAAAATACATATTAATATATCCTATTATAACTTGTATAATTAAACTTTAAGATAATTATATTAATAAACAAGTATATTATGTTTGATAATATATTATTCCTTAAAATTTATGTAAAATTCTTTAAAATATTATCGAAAACGATGTAAAAAATAATAAAATTAAAGATGTTGAATTTGAAGATAACGATAAAACCTGAGATGATTTTTATGATTTTCAATCGCTATGACGTTAACATAAATATTTCTATATATTACTAGAAGCGTACTCGCGTAATGCAGAGATACATCGTGATTTTAATATTTTATTTTATTCTTTATCTCAGCTGATGTTATAATATGGATTTATGTGATTTTGAGAAAGCGATGATGT